ATATATATATATATATATATATATCATATAAGATCATAAGCATTAGAAGTTTTCTAACGTCAGCCCGCAGCAGTCAGCTTTCAGACCCATATAACAGTAATGCGCGCACTGCAGAACCTTAAACTCGACTCCTGAAAGATAAACTCCCTCCACGCTTATGCCACAGACGATGCAAGCTCAGATGAGCTGTTTTGGCCCTCCCAATCAGGATAAAAATATCACCTTTGGCTGGACCGCTGGGGCTATTACAGTTGCCTTAATCACCCCATCCGCAAGCATGCGGTTGGAGTTCAGGCCCACTCAGGCTGGTAGCAACACCCTCAAGAGGGTGTTAAACAGTAAGGCAGAATTACCTAGGTTATTTTTTGTCTGTATTACAATGGCGTTGGGTCCAAGACGACTATGTCGTCTGTGTACTCGATGTCTTTCAATGAGTGCCCTAGGAGAATTTCGAAACAATGACGAGACTCCGGAAAAAATGTGAGAAGGACGAGCTTCCCTTGATGTAATTCGCCCAGGCGACAGCTCCTCGAACAAATTTAGACGCCCGAGTGAGTTGGCAAACAGTGACTTAAGGACAGCCAAGAATTTACGAGGGATACCTTTGCTCCACAAACACTGCTATAGTGTCTGACAGTCTAAAGAGTCACAGGCAGCTTTCAAGACAAAGTTGGTTGGTTGCGTTCCACTGTTCCAGAATTGGACGGAAGGTCGCAATGGACTCCATTCCTTTTACAAGGCGGAACACATCTTTGTAACACCCACCTGCCTCTCCTTTTCAGGTAACCTTGGAAGGAAAGACCAGAAAGCATCTTCGACGACAAAGCTACCAGGTTCGTGCCTCGATGGTTTCCACATGGTTTTCACAAACTTCATATGAGTGAAGATGGCTGTCATTGAACCCACCACCGTCATCATCGACTCAGAGTTCAACACTGATGCTTTGTTTAGCAGCCACATTTTGCGCCATCCCCAACCAGGCGCACTGGGGATCACGCGCTCCAATCGTGGGAGCCTCAGGGATACACCATTTTGGCGCCATAAATGTCTCAAACCAGCAAACACGACCCAAGCCTTGCAGATTCGTGCATCGACTTAATCTGTCACACTACAATCAGCGCTAACACGACTTCCAAGATACGTAAAACGCTCCACAACTAACAAAACCTCTCCCTGGGTTTTAAATGGCGTGTTCAGTGACGCATGTCGGGGAACATGACTTTACACTTTGTGGATGCAAACTGCGCAACACCAAAGGAGAGGATAAATTCGGCCAGTTCATCCAAAAACAAATTTTCTTCGAAGGCAAGAATGATGTCGTCTGCATACACTAGATCGATAAGGTTACGTCAGCGGCGAATTGAATACCATGGTTTTAAGGACCTTCCAGCCTCCCTCTCATTATCTCAATGATCACGAAATTAAATATGAATGGATAGAGTGGGCAAACCTAACGGACACCGCTTTGTGTACGGAAGTTTCCGGAGAGATCTCCCTATACTCTCACAGGTCTAGAAGTCTGAGTACAAAGAGTACAGAGAGTACACACTTCAAGATATTTCTTGATGGGCAATTGTGTTAAGAACGTACCGGCGAAACGAGTCGAGTGTCTTGGAAATCCAGGAATACTGAAATTTGGGGTCGTTTGTACGTATGACGTTCTCGCATCTAGTGGGATGTAAAGATTTGGTCAACGCCATGCGAGGCCAGAATCCCGCTTGCTGCTCTCAAGTCAGTGTTTCACGGGCCACAAGGAGTCAAGGAAGTACAAGTGACGCCAACAGTCGTTACGAGCGGGTCAAGCTGTGCCACACCCGTTACGAGCCCCTTTTTGAAAAAGAGCATTACCACCGATTTTACCCAATTGTCTCGGAAGTCTCTTTTTATCAAATTCAGGCAAACAAATCAGACAATCGTTGACTGAGGATTTCACCCTCACTTTTGAACAGTGCGGGTGGGAGGTCATATGGTCCAACAGTCCGGTGGCACAGTCATAAACCTCCGAGGCTGTAGGGGGTCCCATGTTCACCGTCTAGAGTTCTACGTCAGCGTAGACCCGAGAGGAGTGGCAAACGCTGGTCACGGTAATTGTCGTTCGATGTATTCGGCCTACCGTTCGACGCCTTATTCTTTGCTAAAGATGATCGCTTCATTCTGGTCTTTGACGGTTCATTTCACAAGTGGTTTCCTGGGGGCGGTCGCATGGATCAGCTGAAATTATCTTTGGGCGTTTCCAGATTACTGGATCCCTTTCATTTACATAACTCTCGGAGTCCACCATACTTCACGACTGAAGCGTGCGCTCGCTTTCACATGACTTGTGATATTTTGTCGCCCCAATTTATCTTCGGGAACTGCTGGGATATTTCTCCGAGGCTCGAGCAGTGCCATTGATCAATCTCGTAGCATTGCAGTGATAACTGACACCCGACGGCGAAGCAGTCAGAAGAGCCCAGAAGACTGTTATGATGAATAAATTTTATCTCAGGACCTGCAGGCTTTCAGTTTGCCAAGCTAGTTGTCTGCCACTCGTGTGGGTCTGAAAAGTGAAGACCAAAAACAAAATTGGACGAGTGTATTGACAGAATCCATACGGGTGTTCCGAAAGGATGGAGTACCTGATGGTGACGTGACCAATTTGTACCAGTGGCTGACATTTTCGGTTATTTAAGTGAGCACTGCATAAAATCAGTTTTCGGTCAGAACACAACCGAAGCATTTGTTCGCCGTTGTCCATACCTACAGAGTTAAACCCAAGTCGACCATCTAATCGAGTAACAGATTTCCGTCTTCCTACCAGTACAGCGATTTCAGTTATGTGCTGATCATCATTCGTTTCTGGCCAGTACAGACTTTAAACAAAAGTGATCACACAATGTAACCAATTGCGAACCAGCCATGGACTCAGTTTGATTATGCAACCGATGCAGCCCCCGGTGGAGAGCTTCGATATTAGATTCGTTCATTCTGGGGTAAACCTCTGGACTTGGATTGCGGTAAGGTGAGGTCGCTTTCCTCTGGAAAAAGCTTGCTGATGCAAAAACATTCAGTTCATCACCAGATGTTCTTGCCAGTCCATGTCTACTTTTTACAGACGACTGGAAATCCCGGAGTTCCAATGCCAGTGCCCTCCAAATGGATGTAGACGCTACAAAGCAGTGGTCGTTGGAATGCAACCTTCCTCTGAATGACGAAAAGTGAGTCCATATGTCATTTGGAGGAGACTCAGCGAATGCCTTTGTCATGTATGGTGAGAAAGGACCAGAAAACATCATGAGGATAGATGCCAAAAAAGATTTTGGTATTTGGGTCTCCTCAAACTTGTCCTTCTCACCACACCATGAGAAATCGGCCCGAAACTCATTCGCGGGTTTACGGATGATTCGGTGGACCTCCTACTGGGTTACTCGCATGGACTTCCGAAAACTCTATGGGGCCTACATCGGACCTT